TTCTTATTAATCATTAGTGCCCTTTATACAAAAGATGAGGGCTTCCTTGGCGCTAAAATATTTGCCCTTAATTTAACTAAATCTCTTCTATGCATTTCTAACCTTATAAATGATTACGGGTAATTAGCGAAAATTCAACTAATTCTAGGATAATAATTTTTTACTTGTTTCGTCTACCTGCGCCTAACAAGTCGCATTACTGTTTTGTTGTCCGAAATTATTTAAGCTCGACAATACCATATGCAATTTTTTTCTTCTCCAATGATTTCTGGAAGTCAATTGCAAGCAAACTTCCTGACACGTCATAAAAGAATAGGATCAAGAGTCGTTTTAGAGATGTTGCTTGAGAGTCGAGAAATGAAAGCAAAAATTGAGAGGCCGCTTTAAGTCAAAAATTGATATCGAGCCAGACGTTTCTCTTGTATAAAGGCATGTGCGCTTGTCCTACTGATGCCTGATTGGTTAGTGCTCCCTGATAGTCTGCGGACGCTAGACTACCGTCCGCAGATGTTTTATATATGAGAAATCGGTGTGACGTGCGTAAACGCAAGCTAAAGGTGGGAAGAAGCTTAAAGCTTGAATATACAATGTGCCCAGTCCAAGTGCCATCTGAGTAACATGGCCGCTCAGGCGAAATGATCATATGAGGTTTTTAGTCCACTTCCTCAGAACATGTTGATTAGCCTTGAAGAAGCTGGAGACAGGGTGCATAATCCCTGCCATTGTGTATTTTGAATACGTTCGAATTATGAAAGCCTTGGTTCATATGACCAAAAATTCGTACATATTCCTTGCAAAAAACAAGTTATACAATGATATAAACAATCTCCTCCAAATAATACATAATTTTTGAATTTATATAACAATTTATCACCGCGATATCATTCATCTCTATTGACAAGATATCTGTATTATTGAACAGCATCATATTGCTATATTTTCTTTTTTATCAGAATTTGACGAGTTTCTCTCTGACCGTATGGAGACAATACGGTTGAAAAGTCCTTTTTAGGAGGCACTTCAAAATTTATCGAATGGTAGTCTTTCTGGCAAGTTCAGTATTTGCTTCTTTCTTTCTTTGTAAGGCACTAGCTACTAAGTCTATGCTAGCCTCTGATACGCTTTTCATTTTTCTATATCGCTACTTTTTGCCTTCATAAATGTGTCCTCCATCTAAACTGTCAATTTTGCTGAATAGTCCTACTACTTTTCTCATCTAGTTAGACTTACCTCATCTTTTCTGATTTCGATATTTGCCAAGCGCGCATTTGCCCCTCGTATTCTTTATTTGCACACCTGTGATCTATTTATCCTCAATCGCTTACCATGAACGATTAATTAATGGAAAAAAGGTTTACGTAATATCCATTCTCCATTCACTGTAATACTTCCTTTTTTTTAAATGACCGAAGGCATCTCAGATTTAATTTATTTTTACAGGCAAGGAATTCTCTACTTTCTGCCTTCACTATATTTCATTGTTAGGAGCAATCTCTTGGTTTACGCATAATTTAAGCTATTTTGTCGAAGTATTTTCGTTATTTAATCATTTATTGCTGTTGGCTTTAATTCGCTCCTTTTCAATTAAGCGGATCTTCTATGAGCCTAAATACTGTTGGAACCGACAGCCGAAAGTATGTGGCAATGCATTTATTTCATTCTAAAAGCATGATTAGGCTGGACCCGTGTATCGTACCAAAAATTTGTCAGTATGAGCTGAGTAATTTATGTCTGGCAATATTTTTATTGGTGCCACTTGCATCTGGGACGATATTTGAGTCAAGTTCTGATGCACTGGAAGGGCCCTTTTTCTCGGCACTAAAGACGGGCTCTTTTCTGTTCTTGCCCATGCCAGAACGTCCTTGCTGGTGCTCGTTCTGAGATCTTTGGATCCGGTTGAAGCATTCGTCCGTCATGACGGGCATAATCATAGGAGAGTATCAGTCTTACAATCATATTTATGTTAATGAGTCAATAAAACTCACCAGCTTATCTCAATATGCTGCATATGTATCCTATATCTATGCACTTTGATGGGACATAAAGAAATTTTGTTAGTTCAAGTTACATTTTAAACTCGAATCGTGTGTGTATTTGTGTTTATATGCCTCTATGTTCCATATTTACGAAACCAGCAAAGCTCTCGTCGGACACACTACTGGTCAAGGTAACGAGCTTTTTATTTTTCATGTGAGACATAACAAGTGAGATGAGACGTCTATAAAAGTACCCGTAATTAGAACCATTCATTCTCTCTCACACGAACACAAAAGGCCTATCAATTTATCCAGACATATTTTAGACATGCGATTGGTTTAATGTAAAATAGAAAAAGGTGTTGGTAGTGATAGTAGTTATACAATTTACGTTACCGAGAATGGATGTTACGTTCCATCCATTATTTTGAGCTATCATCGCTGATTTCGTGCAAGTACGAACACAATACAGACTTAGAGGCACACGTATCACTTTATATTCCATTAAAAGGCGTAGATAAGTGGTACACCAACAGCATTAACAGATAAGCTGGGGAGTTCTATTGAGTAGTTAATATAAATTGTAGATGATACATTTCTCTGAATACGTCCATCATGACGAACTTAAACTTAACATGCCCTGACCCAGACCCGAAGAAATGGCCCTGAAAATAGCGTAAACAAGCATGTTCCAGTAAAGCCAATCGACGACTAACCAAGAGCCCTCCATCTGGTGGCACCGACTGGAGTTTTTGAATACACCTTCACCTTAGAAGTAGAATTATAGGCTAAGAGATCCGTCTATACGCAAGCTTCTCAATGGCATCGGCTCCGCTCTATCAAAGGCCGATCTAAGCTTTCCATTATTATACTGTATTAATAAGTCGATGACTAAGATGCCTCTCTCGCCCCATGCAAATTTAGTAAGACAAACAAGGTTATTTTTCAATTTGATCGATATATTGTTTTATCTTCGGGTCACGAATGAGTACAGCCAAGACGTTAGCACAATGAATGAGAAGCTTCAGGCATCAGCGATAAGAAACTAATGAAACCGCCC